CGATTGATTCTGCCATTCCAAACAAGCATTTCATGAACAGTAAAATGATGATCTGGCAATGAGAATGAACTCCTCTGAGAAAACATTAGAGTTCTTCAAAACTTGCATCATGATGGCTGCACAATTCAATTCCTTTACCTGGGATCCAATGGACCAATGACACTCATTTTGAAAAATGCTTATGTTACAAAAACAGGCACCACTTTAACCCCACTTGAACAATGGTGCCAATTAATATATTGTGTAATGTGATGGTCATTGCATCCTTATTGTTGCTACCAGACAACAAAGAAATGTAAACTATAGTTCAAAGTGTCTGGAAGGGAATTTGCTCTGTTGTGGGACATGTAAATATCACATAATTATGTCAACTTGTACTGTATGTATCAGGATTTGAGAAGATGTCTTCATCATCACAGCACATTTTTATAAAGATTATACACAAATTTTCCAAAAAAGATATCATTTCACAGTGAGAGTTGGACCTCTGGGACCCCAGCAACCCCCAGCGCCAGGTAGACCACAAGGACAATTACCTAACAACAACATGGTTCCTTCAGCACAACAGCACCAGCAGCCTGGAATTGTGAACCCAGGTGGCTATTCTGGAAAGATGGTATTACCTGGCACTCCTCCAGGCCATTCCCAGCAATTCCAGGTGCACAAAAATAATGTTCAATTATGTCCACAATAAAAAGGGATTTGAACATTGGAATAAAATCACAATTCAATCCCGAATTCTTTGAAAAGACGATATACACAATTACAGCGTATTCAGCAGGCTTCTTTGAGAACATTTTGAGATCCATGCGTTATTTCTTTTCTAAAAGAAAACATTCTTTCACTCTTATTGAATATAAAATTTAAACAAATTTTTCAGAAATGGAAATCAATTCACGGTGTAGCTGAATGGAATAATGAAGAAAGGTACAATTTATTTTCTTTTGAAAAGGAATTCTTTGTTTTTTTGCTTTGCATCAGGTGCCAGAGGCCTAAGCACCAATGCAGCAACCCTATCCTGGAACCAACATGGATCCCAATGCTAGGT